GGCAGCACCGGCGCAGCGATTGTAGGCACTCTGAATTCGATTTACTAACCGCATGCTTGCATGCTAAGTTTCTTTATTTCAGGTGGTGGGTTTGCGATTCTCTCCTAATGCCTTTTTTTCTCATATAAATGTCTAGTGGGCCATGAGCTAGGTCCTTTGGGGCCACTACAGAAACGACGACGGGTCCTACAGAGAATTACGGCGAGCCGGCGCAGCGTTTGTAGGCACGCTGAATTCGATGTACTAACCGCGTGCTTGCATGCTAAGTCTCTTTATTTCAGGTGGTGGGTTTACAGTTTTTACCCTAATGCTTTTCTTTTTCATATAAATATCTCCCTGTACTCCATTTCATTAACTTGCACACCTCGCCTAAGCCAGTTGTATTCGATTTCCATAATATTTTTGTGTTCGTGACATTCCGTGAACTATACTTTCTGACCTCGTGCACTTAGCTAGCATTTGTTTGTAATCAACTTATTACATATGCTATTTAATTAAGGTTTATATCACCGTTTCCTTATGCATTAATCGAGATTTTCTCTTTTTCTTTCTCTCTTTCAAGTGTTTGGCTGCTGTTTGATATCCCCGGTGTGGCTGCGCTTGATGTGCATGTTGACCAGGTGCCTACCTGTCTATTACCCACTACCTCGTCCATACTGGCTCCAGGAGACAGTTGGTCGTTGCTGGAGGGGACAGGGTGCACGGTCCTTGTGGCCGTGTTAGGATCAAAGAGTGGTTCCATGCACTCAGTGTGGAGCGGACTACGGTCCAGCCACCGCCTTGTGTGCGCTTGATTCCCAAATACAGTGTGCTTGTGTTTGCCTGTGAAGGAGTGTGGGCCGGCTCCGTTGATGAAACGTGGTTCCCATCCGCATGCCTCCCGGTCTTATTCCTTCGGGTTTACACTGGATATGGGGTATGTGGTTGGAGCTGTGGGTGGTGCAGCGCAAGCCATGCATGGTCCCTCTGTAGGCGCAGGCGTCCTGTGGCTTGCCACAGTGACAGGCAAGTCCGAAACCGGATGCCGCCAAGCATATATATACGTGTGTGCAAGTCTACGAATAATTACGGAACCATCAAAAACCATGGTCATGCAGATCGTAGATCAACTTTCTTGTACCCCAGCTCTTAAGGTTTCAAAGCGTGAGCAATAAGTCTGTTTGGCACCTTGTCTATGGCACAGAAATGGAAGTGAATCGGTCAAAACTGTTATTTCACGAAGCAGGATCCAATAGTTGGGCCAGGTGTCGCGCATACCAGCACAACAATGTCCGCGACGTGCGTTGCTTGCGCGACCCGGGTATGGATGGAAGAAGGAGAGCGAAGGTCAAGCGATGACTTGGTCAAGAGGAATGTAAGCCATCCGTTTGAAGTTGGGCTCGCTTGGAGCCTCAGCTCTCCGATTGGGGCTTGAAAGAGGATAAACATGTTTGGCTAAATACACTTTATGGCTGGGAGCCGACCTTAGTGGTGTTTGTGATGTGAGGTTCATTGTCTCTTCGCTCCCGCTTAGCCTCCTCTTCCAACCCCAGTCTCCTATCGGACGCATAACATAACTTTATACGGCAAAATAGCCGGCTGTTAGCTCTCCAAAACGAATCCAATATGTTACCGGTGGCTCAGATGGCGCGCGTCTGTTGTGTATTGCAGCACAAGAGCTGATGTGATTCCCAACCCTAGCTGAAGTGTGTAATGAATGAATGAAACTATGGAACAGATTTTATCTAGCTGAATACCGTACACAAAAACAAATAGATACTCAAAAAATTCACAGCCGCTTTTGGCTTATTTGACGCTGTGGAATGATTTGGAGTTTACTGGGATAGTCCTTTTACCATAAAACAAACCTCAACGGGTTTGTGACAGTAAGTTGTGTATGATATACCTAAATTATTGAAAAATTATCATGGTTAAAATGTTTGATACATTAAGAAAATGCATACACAATGTCCAGATGGGCCCCAGTAAACTCAAAGGACTAATAAAGATGTTTCTGAGTTCCATAAAAGAAGCAAAAAGTAGATGAAACAGAAAATTGCCTATAAAACCGTGGAAAATTCGTGGGTATGGCAGTTGATAAAATTACTAACTTGCTGAGCTATCGTTCAACAGTAACAGAAATTCTGGCCACTATTTGTTTTGATCCCTGCCCGTGACCTTAAGAATTACAAGCCTGCGTTGTAATCCCATTTCATGCCCATTTGTATGCCTGGTCAAGGGCAGAATGTACGTTGTCACATTATTAGCAGCAATGCTGAATCGACTAGGTATGCAGTGTGGCTTGGCACACACAAAACGACTTGGTGTGAAAGTAAACTCGTTACGAAAAGTAAGTAACCGACAACACATTTGTCGTTTGGTTATACGAAGAAATTGGGGAGTGATCATAGTCTCATTAGCACTTCAACTTATGCCTGCCTAGTTGGTGTATGTTTTGCTGATACTTAGATGCAATTTGCAGGATGGAAAAGGCATCAGCATTACACCGGTACACCGTACCGACGCTTCGTTGCCACACGACCATCACTGCTCAAAAGAGCGAGGTATACAGCGAGGTCACTCGCACCAAGGCGGATTCGAATCTGCGATCTTAGGATTGTATAGCAAGCGAATCTTTTCGGCTACTGGAAGCCAGAAATTAGGAACTATACAAGATTTGGCGTTTTAGTCTTGCGCACGCGCCAGTTTTCTTGATGTGATATCTGCCGCTGTTAACTGATCTGAGCCAAAATGAAGCGTTCTAACCTTTTTCCGACTTAAGCATTTCGTGAGTTCGTCGTAGCAGCTTCCAAATCAGATAGTCCTCCACATGTCCAGAAGAGCACTAGACCACTAGCAGTGTTTATGGGTTCGAATCTTGCGTATAAAATTGCAACCTAGTGTTGCGACATCTGAAATACCCTACTCATGAATACATCAAAACACCCGCGAACCTGTTCCCTTTGGATTATCGTCGTCACTGCGGAGTTATGATATTCACTCGACGTATTCTAAGAGGTGAGCTGGGGAATGAGCTGCAACTGTTCTTTCGTTTCAACACAAAGTGAGCAACTCGAGGCCATCGGTGAGTTCTCAAACCACGGCGACTCCGTGTGCCGTCCGATCTGGTCCTATCCACCCAGGTAGTGAATGACTGGAACAGCTTGCCGGAGGCCGTCGTCGATGCGTAGACAGAGGGATGTTTCAAACGAATTTGGATTCTCACACCTTAAGTGCGCAGGGATTTTGCTGCCCCCAATACAACCACAGCGGTCCTCTATGGAACCTTGTACCGCAATGATCCCAACAACCTTCGCAACGAGCGGAAAATGACGGAGCTGGCAAAGGAACTCCCGCTCTCCACCAACCAATCAACCCGCCCAAACTGTTTATAAATGTTCATCATCATCATCATCATCATTACACGTTAGCTGGAGGTGGAAAACACCTCAGCTATTGCGCCGCAATACAAAAGACAAGAAAAGAAAAAAAGTGGCACGCCCGCTGAGTCCTCAGTAACGGATGGACATCGTTCCGGAGACCTAACAGCTGGCTGCCGTAAAAGAGTCATATTATGCCTAACAAGTGAGATCGTGATTGGATGGGGATGCTAAAGAGGAGGGGAATGGACAAAGGAATTCACAACACAAACGCCATTGGGGTCGGCTCCAAGCCATATCAGCGTGTCCAACCAAACGTTATAAATGTTATGTCGTGTCTAAGTACTGTGTGTGGACGTCGAAACCAACCCTATCTTCTGCAGCGTTCATAACTTGCATGGAATTGCATCAGACGCGCTATACTACCGGTGGCTTGGAAATCATGACGGTCCGTAGCTGTCCTCCAGGCATAAGCTGATGACTGGAGTTGTAGGCCTATGTGACCATGGGTTCGAATCCTGATGGGTTCGTATTCAGCCGGTTTGGCTACCCAGAAACCCTGGTGAGTGATAATGGTACACAATTCACTTCAGCATGTTTCTCCAACTTTTGTAAAAATTGTGCAATCAATCACATCAGAACACCGCCGTTTCACCCGCAATCCAACGGCCAAGCAGAACGCTTCGTGGACACTTTTAAGCGCGCCCTCTTGAAATCAGCAGGGGAGGGAACGACACAGGAAATCCTTGAACGATTTTTGTTCATATATCGGGTCACACCGAACGTCCAAACGCCGAACGGATTTTCTCCGGCCGAGGCCTTAATGAATCGTAAGCTACGAACTCCATTTGATGCTCTCCGGCCCACAATAGAAGTTTCGGCTAAGGAACAGAAATCTACTATGGGACAACAGTCATCTAAACATCGAGGGACAAGACAACGTGCGTTCACCCATGGTCAACTAGTCCTTGCACGCGACTATCGCAATGGTCATCCAAATTGGACAAAAGGAATGGTCACTGGTAGGCGGGGTAAAGTTATTTACGAGATGCGAGTTGGATCACAATTATGGATTCGTCATGAGAACCAGCTGCGACCAACTAGGTGCATACCCGATGAAGAGAGTCACAGCCTGCCTCTTGACATGCTAATTGACACATTTAACATCCCACGGTCCATAGAAAAGTCAGAGGCACCGAAGTCTCCACCAGAGACAACTCAACGAAGGCGCCGGGCAGACCGCGCTCGCAAAACTACGACACGTTTGCAGGTAAACCCTTGGAAGCGTTCTTACGATTGACATCTTCAAGGAGGAAGATGTTAGGGTTAGAACCAAAACCTAACCCGAATAAGACCCAGGGGTTTTGGATAGTCGAAACCAGACTGTGCCACAGAATTGTGTTCGAACTTGTACGTGCAACCAGAACACGGAACCAAGCATGTTTCAATTTGTGTGCACCAAATAGCTACATGTGAATTACACAGAGTTGGCATGTTTTTCGCCCAAAACCAGAACAGTGTGTTTGTTTTATGCAACAGAACATTGTTATTGTTCTTTTGGCCCACACAACATGAAACACTTGTGAAAAACACATCTCCTATAAAATTGCACATGTTTCGACTATCACGGACACCCGCTTAGTTTGTGCTATTGGCATTTTTGGCCCTTGGGGTTTTGTGTACTCAATACACATACTACTTGCCAGTGTCGCGTGTTCTCTCAATACCTTGGCCTCTCAGTCAGGAGTCGGTGTGAACCATCGCGATTAAGTCTATCTGGTGCGACCATATCAAGTGGCGACGGAGTATTTTGATTACCTTACTTCAAGAACCCACGGTATAACAGATGGCAGAGAAACCTCCATATCAGTTGGGGTTCTATGAACGACAAATACATGAACTCATACGGCAGCAACAGGCACAAACGGAAGCGCAAATGAAACTGATCGAGACGCTCACACAGCGACTGAACGTGCAACCCGAGGCTACTCGTCCAACCTATCAAACTAATTCCGTTGATGTCCTGTGCAATTCCATTACTGAGTTCAGTTATGCTCCAGATTGTGGCTCCACTTTCGATACATGGTTCAAACGATGGCAAGACTTATTCTGCACCGATTTCAATGGTCAAGAAGACTCCTGGAAAGTCCGTCTCCTCCTCCGAAAACTTGGAACTAACGAACACGCAAGGTTTCTCGACCACATCTTGCCGAAACAGCCCAAAGACCTCACCTTTGATGAAACAGTATCCCAGCTTTCTGAGATATTCGGTGAGTCGGTTTCGTTATTTAGTGTTCGTTTTCAATGCTTGAATATAGTTAAACGCGATACTGATGACTATGGCACATTAGCCGACACCGTCAACCGTGAATGTGAACGTTTTAAGCTACGCTCATTGACGGATGATCAGTTTAAGTGTCTCATATATATAAGAGCCTTACAGTCCCCTGACGACGCTGAAATTCGTATGCGCCTCCTCTCTAAACTTGATCAACATCCGGACATGTCCCTCAACTCCCTCGCAGCCGAGTGTAAGCGCATATTAACCCTGAAACATGACACGGCTCTTATTGAGCACAATTCACAGATGCCATCCAACGTAGTTTATGCTGTGAAAAACGAAATGCCCAAAACGGCGACCAAACGTTTCAGACACATGCCTTCTAAGCCACCTACTCCATGCTGGTCATGCGGAGAATGGCACTTCGCACGGTTCTGCCCCTTCAAACGACACTTTTGCCAGAAATGTCATAAAACGGGCCACAAAGAGGAATTTTGCATTCGGCGTCGATCACGAAACAGCAAGCGACACTCTTCCACCCATAAGAACCGTAAATTGGGCATTGCCAAATCACTACCCGTTCAGGTTGCTTTTCAAAGTGGTTTTGTGTCACGTAGAAAGTTCATTACGGTGCTTATGAACGGTACTCCAACTCGTTTACAACTGGATACTGCCTCCGACATCACCATCATCTCGAAAAGTACCTGGCACCATATAAAGAAACCAAAGTTGTTCCCGACTAATAAAATAGCCCATAATGCTTCTGGAGGTGTCCTTACTCTGGTCGCACAGTTTACTTGTGAAATCTCATTTAACGGTGTTCTTAAGACTGGAATCTGTTACTTAACCGACAGACCCACACTTAATCTGCTGGGTATTGATTGGATTGAGAAATTAGAACTACTTGACATCCCCCTAAACACCATATGCAACCAGCTTCAAATGCATACAATCCCGCCAACAGAATCTATGCAGATGATACAGTCTTTAAAGCGCAAATTTTCCACCGTGTTTCAAAATACCCTTGGCCACTGCACAAAATTCAAGGCATCATTAACGTTGCGTCCAGGAACAACACCTGTTTTTAGACCTAAGCGTCCCGTACCTTACGCTGCTATTCAACCACTTGAGCAAGAACTTGACCGCTTACAGCAGGCTGGTGTCATTACTCCTGTAAACTATTCTGCATGGGCAGCACCCATTGTCGTCGTAAAAAACCAAACAAACAACTACGCATCTGCGCTGATTTTTCGACTGGCCTTAACGCAGCCCTTGACAACCATCAATATCCCCTTCCAGTGCCAGAGGATATTTTTGCCAAATTAAACGGGGGCACATGTTTCGCTAAGCTAGATCTGTCTGACGCCTACCTCCAGGTCGAGGTAGCGGAGGATTCTCGTGAACTACTTACGATAAACACTCATCGTGGTTTGTTCCAGTATAATCGCTTACCATTTGGTGTAAAATCGGCCCCATCCATTTTTCAGCAGTTAATGGACACCATGTTGGCAGGTATCACTGGAGCAGCGGCTTATCTGGATGATATAATTGTTATGGGTCACACTCAGTCCGACCTACTAAACACGCTAGATAATGTGCTTACCCGAATACAGGAATATGGCTTCTGCCTACGCGAGGACAAGTGTGATTTCTTTTTAACCTCAATCAAATTCCTCGGTTTTATCCTTGACAAAAATGGTAGACGCCCGGATCCGGAAAATACCAACGCGATCCGCAACATGCCTCCACCGTCGGATATGTCCTCTCTCCGTTCGTTCTTAGGACTCGTCAGCCATTATAGTTCATTTTTGCCAGACATGCATCGCCTACGTGCACCACTAAATCAATTACTGACCAAAAGTTCTACGTGGAAGTGGTCCTCAGAATGTGAAGTTAGTTTCAATGCGATTAAGTCATTGCTAACCTCAGATCTCTTACTGACACATTACGATCCTTCTCGGGACATCGTTGTAGCCTCAGATGCATCTGATAAAGGAATTGGTGCGGTCATATCCCATGTTTATGCAGACGGTTCTCAAAAGGCTATTGCACATGCTGCTAGATCTCTCACAACCGCTGAAAAGAACTATAGCCAAATTGAAAAAGAGGCTTTGGCTATCATATACGCTGTAAAGAAATTTCACAAGATGCTGTACGGCCGTCGTTTCACGTTGTTAACTGATCACAAACCACTACTGACCATTTTCGGCTCCAAAAAAGGAATTCCAGTTTACACAGCTAACCGCTTGCAGCGCTGGGCACTGACACTGTTAGCCTATGACTTCGACATACGTTATCAGTCAACTACCAGTATTGGTCAGGCAGACGCTTTATCGCGACTTATAGGACCTCACAAACAGAATCAGGAAGATACGGTGATTGCATCTGTAGAAGCGGAACCGGACATTGCGTTCATTATAGATGACGTGTCGAACAATCTTCCGGTTACCTCAGATGCGGTTCGTCATGCCACCCTCCAAGATCCCTTACTTAAACAAGTTGCCCATTTCCAGCGATCGAAGTGGCCAACCACATGTAAATCAGCTGAACTTCAACAGTTCTACCAGAGAAGACACTCTTTGTCCATCGTGAACGATTGTATTCTTTTTGCAGACAGGGTCGTTATTCCTAAGATCCTGCAAACGAAGGTGCTACGACAATTTCATACTGGTCACCCTGGAATAAACCGAATGAAAGCACTAGCACGCAGCTATGTCTACTGGCCTTTCTTGGATAAACAATTAGAAGAGTTAGCAAAGAGCTGCAATAAGTGTGCAGTTGCAGCAAAAGCACCACCAAAAGAAGAAATCCACCCTTGGCCAACACCTGACAAACCGTGGACTCGTGTGCATGTAGATTTTGCCGGACCCGTTAATGGTAACAACTTTCTAGTAGTTGTCGACTCATACAGCAAATGGCCCGAGGTGTTTCTGATGCAAAACACAACAGCTGGAGCCACTGTTTCGAAATTAAGACAATTATTCAGCCGGTTTGGCTACCCAGAAACCCTGGTGAGTGATAATGGTACACAATTCACTTCAGCATGTTTCTCCAACTTTTGTAAAAATTGTGCAATCAATCACATCAGAACACCGCCGTTTCACCCGCAATCCAACGGCCAAGCAGAACGCTTCGTGGACACTTTTAAGCGCGCCCTCTTGAAATCAGCAGGGGAGGGAACGACACAGGAAATCCTTGAACGATTTTTGTTCATATATCGGGTCACACCGAACGTCCAAACGCCGAACGGATTTTCTCCGGCCGAGGCCTTAATGAATCGTAAGCTACGAACTCCATTTGATGCTCTTCGGCCCACAATAGAAGTTTCGGCTAAGGAACAGAAATCTACTATGGGACAACAGTCATCTAAACATCGAGGGACAAGACAACGTGCGTTCACCCATGGTCAACTAGTCCTTGCACGCGACTATCGCAATGGTCATCCAAATTGGACAAAAGGAATGGTCACTGGTAGGCGGGGTAAAGTTATTTACGAGGTGCGAGTTGGATCACAATTATGGATTCGTCATGTGAACCAGCTGCGACCAACTAGGTGCATACCCGATGAAGAGAGTCACAGCCTGCCTCTTGACATGCTAATTGACACATTTAACATCCCACGGTCCATAGAAAACTCAGAGGCACCGAAGTCTCCACCAGAGACAACCCAACAAAGGCGCCGGGCAGACCGCGCTCGCAAAACTACGACACGTTTGCAGGTAAACCCTTGGAAGCGTTCTTACGATTGACATCTTCAAGGAGGGAGATGTTAGGGTTAGAACCAAAACCTAACCCGAATAAGACCCAGGGGTTTTGGATAGTCGAAACCAGACTGTGCCACAGAATTGTGTTCGAACTTGTACGTGCAACCAGAACACGGAACCAAGCATGTTTCAATTTGTGTGCACCAAATAGCTACATGTGAATTACACAGAGTTGGCATGTTTTTCGCCCAAAACCAGAACAGTGTGTTTGTTTTATGCAACAGAACATTGTTATTGTCCTTTTGGCCCACACAACATGAAACACTTGTGAAAAACACACCTCCTATAAAATTGCACATGTTTCGACTATCACGGACACTCGCGGGTTTGTGCTATTGGCATTTTTGGCCCTTGGGGTTTTGTGTACTCAATACACATACTACTTGCCAGTGTCGCGTGTTCTCTCAATACCTTGGCCTCTCATTCAGGAGTCGGTGTGAACCATCGCGATTAAGTCTATCTGGTGCGACCATATCAGTTCGATGGATATGAATTACTGGTGATGCCCAACAGGATGAAACTGTAGCCTAATTCTGTACCGAGCTTTCATGCATAGTTTCATTGTGTGGTAGAGATCAGAAAAAAAGTCCTATGTCAGCTCCGTCGCTTCCAAGTCATTGCGGACATATGGAGGACTACCTGATTCGGAAGCTGCTGTGAGAAACTAAATTACTTAAATCCAGAACCCCATACTTGTGACTAAACTATTTTAATTTTATCCCAAGGGTCCAGCAGATGCGACCACGCAAAGAATTGGGTCTGAGAATGCCACATTAACAGATGAACAGTGTCACCCCTATACGACATACATATATCAGATGATCACAAGTCCGAGCAGCGAAAGTGGTAGTGCGCGATGTAGAAAGTGAAATAGGTTTCATCAAGTAGAACACACTAAAGAACGTACGGATAGGGACTAAGTCACAAATACTTGTTGATCAAAAACGCACGACAGAAAACCGAACGGCAGCATCAACGTAGCATAAGTTAGGTGGGAAAGGATGAGCCGTTTAGTGCAAAAAATTCATTAATTAAGTTAGGAAAGTGAAAAATGCGAGCGGCAGCCGCAGACATACGTAATAAAAACAGGAGTAAAACGATTCAACTTTGTATAAAAATCATTAGTCGATACCACATCTGTCAGCGCTAGATTGAACAACAACACTTACCCATCGCCAAGGACGGATGCTCCCCAGCTGGGGAGAGCAACCTGCAGATCGCTGGAATCCGAGGTTGACCTTGACGCGGCTTAGTTACATCGAAACCGATAACACCCAAACATGATACATCAAAGTGGTTGTGCTTTATTACTTATTTTTAAGATCAATATTAAGCAAGAATTAATTCGTTAACATAACAAAGCACTACTGCGCGGTTCATAAGCATCATTCCGCATTAAAATCAGAACATATTGACAGTTTGTCTAAGTGTGTAGTTGCACGTTTTAGTGTTATGTGTAAATAAGTTATGTTGACATTTGAATTAGTTTGGTGAGTTAATGCCATCTGCATGTTGCGGCGTTTGTCCTCAGATGACAGGTGAATGATGAGGCGGAATGAGAAACTAGTAGCAACAATCATCACATTTCCCACGCAACCAGCATTTTATTACGTACGATGTCCGTAAAAAGTATTCTGCAGAAGCTTAATAGCTGCAAGCGGAAAACCCATTGAATCCTAATTCAGTGGCTATCGGCATCCACATTGCAAAGTTGGATCATTGACTATTGGAGATCAGAAAGCAGAACCTTTGTCAGCTTCAGCAACTTCCGATCATTGCAAGGCTTCATTATTAATCGGGAGTCGGAGATCCGCGTAGAGTCTTGAAAGTCGCAATGGAAGCGGCAAGAGCCGGGCACATTCAGTAAGTAAAAATTCAACATTTCCTTGCAACGTTCCTCTGTTTGTATGCCAACCACGAGCTCCGGCAAGCGGTTCCCGTCATACACCACAAGGGTGGATAGATTAATAATGGTCTACACTCAGGGCCTCCTCAGTTTGAAGAATTTCTTTTGTGATCCCGAGCTGCAGTTCCAGCACGGAGATGAAAGCACTGCTGCAGCTTTTTCTCAGCGCCCCTCTAAGAATATGCTGAGTGAACAATGTGCTCCACATGGCGGTGATGGTTATCCATTGATAATCGCTTCAAGGGTTGGAGTCAAAGAGTATAGGGTAGGTCACAAAATGCGCAAGAGGATTTCAAACCGCGCTGTTGGACTCGCTCAATCATAGAACATTCGAAATTAATGAAATTTTAGGAGGCTGGCAAACCACGTTCAAGTATCGGAAGTCCGTGTGATGCGAAAATAAGCCAAAAAGCGCCAGCGTGAGGTGACATAAGCTTTTTTGGTAATGCCTGTAACACCTTATATGCAGCATCGACCCTCGTCAAGGTGTCCTGAGTTGGTCTTAAGTCGAGAGAACCGATTATGCCGAGCTCAAGCACATGAGCGGCATGTTGCATTAAAGACCTTCAACGTTGTAGGACAGTGGTAGCGCCAGTAGCTCAAAAGAAAACGACTTTATTACAAGGTAAGCCGTATTTGATCAACCAACTGTGCAGCTCAAGCCTCACTTGTAGTCGATCAACATTCTATATACTAAAGACCTCCTTTCACAGATTCAGCTCAACTGCCCCTTTAGGAAATCCGCCTACAGCAAGAGACATGTTATTACTGAATAGGTTGAGGAGCTCGGGGCCGAGAATACAGCACTGTTAGACACCGCTGGTGATAAGCACAAAGTCAGCAGTGTTTCATTCACTCTTATGTGCCTAGAGCGGCAAACCAGAACTCCAGATCCACGAGATAATTCCAAACAACGCCGATGCTTCGGTGTTTGGATAGGAGCAGCTCAATTTGAACGTTGTCAAATGATTTGCTAAAGTCGGCGGAAACGACATCCAATTGTTTTTCGTGGTTTAGTGATTTACCACGTGAAGCTCGTGGTCCACGAGCGAACCCTGCAGAAACCACGCTGGGCACAAGAGTAGTAAGCCAGCTCTTTCACGTGATGCTGCGTGGCACGTTTCAGAGGACTTTCCATGAATTAACGTCAAGCGGAGAGCAAACAAATCAGATGGCTACTGGCTTCATTCTAAAGGCCCTCTCCTTTCTAGTAAAGCTTGAAAATGTTCACGTTCAAGACCCACTTTAGATGACGGGTTTAAAGGGAGCGGCAACGTTCTAGACAGACGAGAGCGAAATTGCATTCGTCCACCGTTTTCAGAAGCAGCGGATGCAAACCGTTCGGATAGTCAAGTAAAATGGACCCGTGAAACAGAAGTTTTACACTGCTAGTACCGTTAATATCTACGTGTAGCAACGTGGAGGGTAGAGAGGACACAAGTTTGACAAAGTAAGGCGTTTCTTTAAGGAAGACACAAGAATACTATAAGGCGCCGAGACTGGCATTTTCGTCATCTTCTTAGACTACAGCCGCCAGCTCATAGGGACCCAAGGCACGTGAGGTCAATTACGGCTATTGTGCTACGTTTGAGGAAGGAGAACAGCGCATTGGGATTCATTTTAACGATCACAGCAAGTGACTATCAGTGTATTTATTGCTTCTCGCGTTTTTAATGTACGCGTTGACTGTGCACGTTGACTTTAATAAGCGAAGCGATGTCCATTGGCATGAGGTAGCAGGGTGAGCAATCCTGCTAACCGAACGCATGACCGCAAGTTTCTTGAGAACGGGCTGAGCTGAGGTAAGCAGAAATTTAAGGATTTTCAGCGTTTGGTCAGCACCAATGCGGGTTGGTTTACTGACAGACTAAAACAAATTACAATTGAGAAAGATCGAAAATAAGGCGGCATGGAAGTAAGCAGTTGGACGCCCGCAAGGACGTAAGTTCCAACCGATATAAAGGGCATTAAACTGCTTTGGGATAAGACCTTCATTTCTTGCACCGTGTTTCGAGGTCGCATCGGGCGGGGCAATTGCTAAACGATGGCGCTCTGTAGACGACACCCGTCGTAGAATATCTGCTTCCAGCAGGAACACGGCATCAGAGAGCATCAACTTCATCGTCACGGCACGCAAATGGCTATTGGGTTCCGGTTTCAAATAAGTTATGACGACGTCAACTGGCCTTCCAGCTAGGTGGTTGGCTCCACTGTAGGCTGGCTCCACTGCATCCTGGGAAAAACACCTCTGGTTCTTGGAAAGCTCCTAACAGCTGTTTCGTTGAAGGCGAGCAGATCAAGTAGAGTGTTTGAAGCAGGCAGCTGCGTTTCAACAAGTTTGTTTTTCAGGCTGCGAACATTGGCGAAAAGTGCTCACAGTCCGTTCACATTCGCTGCCGGCCTTGGTTGACGAGAATTTTCCTCCAACATGTGCTCGGGGGTTTCTACTTACGCGCTGGTCAGCCATTTGGAGGTCTGTCTCCTCATTCGCTCGGAGGGACCAGGGTGCTTCAACGGCTGTTTTTATTGTAGTCCGAAGTTTCGTGGAAGGACTTCTCAGGTCGTAAAGTGGCGCACTTTCAAACGTTGGGTTCCTCTGGTGATGCGTCGATTTGGTACACGACCTTTAGTTGGCGCACCGTGGATGGATCCACTTGCTTCCTGCCACGGCGGCAGGCAGAGTGGCTGTTTATCATCCATTCAGCATCGAATAAAATAGAAAGCATGTGCTCAAGGAATACATGGGTATTCAGCATCATTCCCGCAAAGGTGGCTTTTGTGGATTCCGGCGCGTACATCACGATAAGACAAAGTTCACTCGAGGCTGGTAGATCGGGCCAGCGATCTGCGGCTGTGGGGACGCAATGGCCTTGCTCAAATTTTCAACTTGTTAATTGTATCAGGAACAGCTTTCATTTGGCACTGAGAAGCTGTAGTTGGGTTTAGACTTAGACGATGCCTGAATATTGCCTAGTTGAGCTCCGAACACTCGAGACAATGGCAGTTTCCCTCACCAAGGCTGCGTGTGCCTCAGTCGTTGGATCATGGGCAAGACGCATCCTAATCGTTCCTAGTGCAAAGCAGAGAGGACTCGGCTTCGTTCACTCTTGAGGGTGGCTGCGCCGGATGAAGTTGTGGGCGGGAGGTGTCGGGACACCACATAGTCTAGGGCAGTGGAAGCCTCAAAATTCGTCGGAGTCGAAAGAAGGCTCAGAAGTGTCATCCTGACGTAAAAGCGTCTACTGCTTAATGAGGTACGGCAGGGACTGCGAGAAACAGTGCCATCCGAAATAGTGCGTCGCCGCAGGGGCACATAGTTCGGGGCAAATGCCGCAGCAGGCAATATGCACATATCCGTCAACCTACAAACACTGTTTGGTTTGAAAAGCGAGCTAACACCTTTACTGCAGCTCATGCATTTGGACACCATAGCTAAACTTGGAGGTAAGGACATGTACTATTGTACATGGTAAAGAGTCTTACAGTTTCAAGCCTAAATGGGACAGGAATAACCGGCGAAGCCCGTGAGTGTTGATACTTTCGCAGGTCGTTGAGCCAGGCATCAATGAGCTCCTCTGGGTTTTTGATGGATTTAGCGCAAACTTAGAGCCACGTTTACTGCATCAGCATTTTCTGCTGTGCCTGTATGGGGCAGTAAAATGTGGCAACAAAAACAAGAAAAAATAAACGTAGAAGTCCTTCTAATAAACCTTACTATTAATTGAAATAAAGTAGCGAAAATAGATTCTACTTAAACAGCTTCGACTGGCTGGCCGAACAACTCGTGGTGCCAGCTGGATGGTTCGGGTGTAACTCGTTCCAGCAAATGGTTCGGTGGTAGTTTTCCAGGACGCGGTGTAATTTCGCCTGGCAAACGTTCAACCTATAAACTCCCAACTTTCGGCTTCGCAACATGATGGCGTGGCGGAAGTGTCTCACCGAAATCTAAAGTCACTGTCTCGTTGGAATCCGGATAATGCTAGCCAGCTTACAGACCTCACTTGTTTCTTCTCACCTGCATGACGGTATTAAAGTCAACAAGGCGGCAACACGTCTATAGGCACAGCTACCTAGCTCTATACCTACACTATTGGTTGGCGGCAAACAATTTCGGATTTGCCTGTCATGGTGGCCAGCCACAGGACGCCTGCGCTTACATAGGGACCATGTTTGCCTTGCGCGGCACAACCCACAGCCCCATCCAACCACCCCATTTCCGGGGCAAAGCCGAAGGAATAAGATCGTACGGCATGCAGATGGGAGTCACGTTTCATCAACGGAGCTGGTCTACACGCCTTCACAGGCAAAAACAAGCATGCTGTATTTTGGGAATCAAGCGCACACGAGGCGGTGGCTGGACCGTAGTCCGCTCCCCACTCAGTGCATGGA